GCTACTTTTGAGTGTGATATACCCCGGGATGCACCTTCACACACGCCACTAGTATTACAACAAGTCAAGTGTTTAAGGTCTAGGTGTTATGATCCATTTTGGGTTGAACTCATTGACCCGTCCCACAATAAAGCCTGAACCCTGACACTTCTCTCCTAAAACCCAACCTAGGCCGAAATTCCTACAAGCCCAACACACTCCCACATATCCAAAAGTATTTCATTTGCCTTTATTAACCAAAATAAAGTCCTTCACCTCCCTTTGAAGCCATGGCCGAAAATCCAAGAGACAAGGACAAACAAAATTGCTTTGTGTGTGTTGTTTTCTTTCCTAATATTCCCTACTTTAAATTAAACCTTCCCCCACATTTTCCTACTTCAAACCCACGAAAATACATCCCCTTTTGGCCTTAGAATCCATCCCAATCCATTACAAAACACAAAAGACCAAATCAGGAGACAAGCGTCCCAATTCAGGAGACAATCTGTTACAGTGATTTTTAGGCTTTGTTTGTTTGAGGCAGTGAAGAAACTGAACGTAACTTGGCGTTGGGTTACCTTACTAACCACCATTATACCAACCATGGCAATTTGGTTTCTTAGATTGCCTCAAGTGTATCAATTTTGTGTGGGTGTGTATAAGAAATCGCGGGTGTTCAGATTTTGAATTTATGAAATTAATTACTTTGATTTTAAGGTTTTTACAGTTTGAGGCATTGAATGCAACTTGGCGTGGCGTTACGGAATTAACCACCGTTGAAGCGGCTCTGGCGATTTGGTTTCTTTCATTGCCTCAAACGCCTAAACTTCGTGCTGGTATGAGTAAATATTTTATGGCATATGATGATTTTGAAGTAATGAAATATGATTCTCTGATTTTCAGGCTTTGTTCATTTCAGGCAATTTAAGAAACCATTGTAATATGGCGCGGTGTTACGCAATTAAGCACCATTGTAGACTCCATTGCGATTTGGTTTCTTAAATTGCCTGAAATGTAGCCATTCACATGGGCCTGTGTATGAGTTTATGGCTGTGATGATTTTGAAGAAACGAAATCTGTTTATGAGATCTTTAGTCTCTTTAAGTTTGAGGCATCGTAGGAATGAATGTATCTTGGTGTGGCACTACGAAATCAAACGTTGTTGCAGCCATGGCGAATTTGTTTCTAATGACTCAAGCACAAAACCAATTTCAAATTTGAGCTACAAAGGTGGTTAATTCGGTAACGCCACGCCATATTACGTCGGTTTCTTCAATGCCTCAAACGAACATATCCTGAAATGTATCCATTTTACTCCGGTGTGAATGAGTTTATGGCTGTGATGATTTTGAAGAAACGAAATCTGTTTATGAGATTTTTAGCCTTTGTTCATATAAGAGACAAACGTATCTTGGCGTGGCATTACGGATTTAACCGCCGTTGCAGCCATGGCGAATTCGTTTCTGATATGACTCAAGCCCAACACTGGATTTTAAATCTGAGCTAAAACGGTTTTAGGCACTGATATTTAGGCTTCCCAATTCTGTTACAGTGATTTTTAGGCTTTGTTTGTTTGAGACAGTGAAGAAACTTAACGTAACATGGCAGTTTCTTAAATTGCCAGAAATGAACAAAGCCTTAAATTCAGAGAATTGGGAAGCCTAAATATCAGTGCCTAAAACCGTTTTAGCTCAGATTTAAAATCCAGTGTTGTGCTTGAGTCATATCAGAAACGAATTCCCCATGGCTGCAACGGCGGTTAAATTCGTAATGCCACACCAAGATACGTTTGTCTCTTATATGAACAAAGGCTAAAAATCTCAAAAACGGATTTCGTTTCTTCAAAATCATCACAGCCATAAACTCATTCACACCGGAGTAAAATGGACACATTTAAGGCTATGTTCGTTTGAGGCATTGAAGAAACCGACGTAATATGGCGTGGCGTTACCGAATTAACCACCGTTGTAGCTCAAATTTGAAATTGGTTTTGTGCTTGAGTCATTTGAAACGAATTCGCCATGGCTGCAACAACGTTTAATTCCGTAGTGCCACACCAAGTTACGTTCATTCCTACTATGCCTCAAACTTAAAGAGACTAAAGATCTCATAAACAGATTTCGTTTCTTCAAAATCATCACAGCCATAAACTCATACACAGACCCACGTGAATGGCTACATTTCAGGCAATTTAAGAAACCAAATCGCAATGGAGTCCACAATGGTGCTTAATTGCGTAACACCGCACCATATTACATTGGTTTCTTAAATTGCGTGAAATGAACAAATCCTGAAAATCAGAGAAACATCTTTCATTACTTCAAAATCATCATATGCCATACAATATTTACTCACACCAGCACGAAATTTAGGCGTTTTAGGCAATGAAAGAAACCAAATCGCCATGGCTGCTTCAACGATGGTTAATTCCGTAACGCCACGCCCAGTTGCATTCAATTCTTCAATGCCTCAAACAGTAAAAACCTGAAAATCAAAGTAATTCATTTCATAAATTCAAAATCTGAACACCCGTGATTTCTTATACACACCTACACAAAACTGATACACTTGAGGCAATCTAAGAAACCAAATTGCCAGGGCTAGTATAATGGTGGTTAGTAAGGTAACCCAACGCCAAGTTACATTCAGTTTCTTCACTGCCTCAAACAAACAAAGCCTAAAAATCACTGTAACAGAATTGGGAAGCCTAAATATCAGTGCCTAAAACCATTTTAGCTCAGATTTAAAATCCAGTGTTGGGCTTGAGTCATATCAGAAACGAATTCGCCATGGCTGCAACGGCGGTTAAATCCGTATTGCCACGCCAATATACGTTTGTCTCTTATATGAACAAAGGCTAAAAATCTCATAAACGGATTTCCTTTCTTCAAAATCATCACAGCCATAAACTCATACACAGCGGAGTAAAATGGATACATTTCAGGCTATATGTTCATTTGAGGCATTGAAGAAACCAACGTAATATGGCGTGGCGATACTGAATTAACCACCGTTGTAGCTCAAATTTGAAATTGGTTTTGTGCTTTAGTCATTAGAAACGAATTCGCCGTGGCTGCAACAACGTTTAATTCCATAGTGCCAGACCAAGATACGTTCATTCCTACGATGCCTCAAACTTAAAGAGACTAAAGATCTCATAAACAGATTTCGTTTCTTCAAAATCATCACAGCCATAAACTCATACACAGACCCACGTGAATGGCTACATTTCAGGCAATTTAAGAAACCAAATCGCAATGGAGTCTACAATGGTGCTTAATTGCGTAACACCGCGCCATATTACATTGGTTTCTTAAATTGCGTGAAATGAACAAAGCCTGAAAATCAGAGAAACATATTTCATTACTTCAAAATCATCATATGCCATACAATATTTACTCACACCAGCACGAAATTAAGGCGTTTGAGGCAATGAAAGAAACCAAATCCCCATGGCTGCTTCAACGGTGGTTAATTCAGTAACACCACGCCAAGTTGCCTTCAATTCTTCAATGCCTCAAACTGTAAAAACCTAAAAATCAAAGTAATTAATTTCATAAATTAAAAATCTGAACACCTGTGATTTTTATACACACCCACACAAAATTGATACACTTGAGGCAATCTAAGAAACCAAATTGTCATGGCTGGTATAATGGTGGTTAGTAAAGTAACAAACCGACAAGTTACGTTGAGATTTCTTCACTGCCTCAAACAAACAAAGCCTAAATAAAAATCACTGTAACAGAATTGGGAAGCCTAAAAATAAGAGCCTAAATTCGTTTTAGCTCAGATTTGAAATCCAGTGTTGAGCTTGAGTCATATAAGAAACGAATTCGCCATGGCTGCAACAGCGGTTGAATCCGTAATGCGTTTCTTCAAAAACGAATTTGCCATGGCTGCCACGCCAAGATACGTTCGTTTCTTATATGAACAAAGGCTAAAAATTCAGAACCGGATTTCGTTTCTTCAAAAACATTACAGCCATAAACTCATTCACACCTGAGTAAAATGGATACAATTCCGACTATGTTCGTTTGAGGCATTGAAGAAACCGACGCGATATGGCGTGGCGTTGTCGAATTAACTACTAGTTGTAGCTCAGATTTGAAATTAGTTTTGTGCTTGAGTCATTAGAAACGAATTCGCCATGGCTGCAACAACGTTTAATTCCGTAGTGCCACACCAAGATACGTTCATTCCTACGATACCTCAAACTTAAAGAGACTAAAGATCTCATAAACAGATTTCGTTTCTTCAAAATCATCATAGCCATAAACTCATACACAGACCCACGTGAATGGCTACATTTCAGGCAATTTAAGAAACCAAATTGCAATGGAGTCTACAATGGTGCTTAATTGCGTAACACCGCGCCATATTACATTGGTTTCTAAAATTGCGTGAAATGAACAAAGCCTGAAAATCAGAGAAACATAGTTCCACTATTTAGGTAGGAACTATGTTCCTACCTAAATATTTGATGGGAATTGGTACATAGACTCATTAACGATAATGAGGACTACTACGAAGATGAACAAAGAACTATTTCGACAGGAGATCGATAACGGAAAACTACTGTACAACCAATCGACAGTACTTCATCGTAAATCATGACAAAAATCCATATCTTGAAAATCTTGGACCACTAAAAGACCTTTGACGTATTTGCGAATCATTGTTGAACTATGTGAACGAGATGACGATGACTCAAGTAACTTGAAAAAGTTACGCTATGACGTATGAATTAAACAACCTCCAAATCTTCCAATACATCTACCGCGAACTTGAAATTACAAATGCTACTGACGAACCTTCAATCAGAGGAAGAATATTGTTAATCAACGTGGTACAACGAGGAATTGAGACTGAACGAAGTTTTGTGCAAGTATGGCAAGTATATAACCCTATACACCACGAAGGAACTTTAGTTGTTGATACTGAAGGATCACTGAATGTCTTGCTTAAATCTAAGATTATTAATCTCTAGAAGAAAGAACAAGTCTGATAACATTGACACTTTGAGAATACTTATCTGTATGGATAATGATGTAATTATGATTTAACCCATTGAGCATGACACGGTCATGATTAAGTAAGATCACTACGGAATGTTGAACGTTTGGCCTTAAGAAGAATTTCGAGGACGAAATTCCTTTTAAGGGGGGAAGAAATGTAACGCCCCAAAATATACCCTAAAATTTATTGAATTAAATATCCAATTAAACAAAATATGTTTTGATTAAAATAAATTGTTATTGGGCCTTGGGCCGAAATAAAATGTGTTTTGATATCCAATATCACAATCAGGATAAATCTCATAGAGATAAATCCAATTAGTTGACTTATTGTGTAATTTTGATTGGGAACCTGAGTACAGACCCAAATCAAGAATAAATAGAGAATTTGTTTATTAAGTGAACTTTGAAATGATTTATTGAAATAAATCATGATAATAATTAATATGAATTAAAGATGAGAACCTTTTTGAATAAAAGCCAACTTAATCAATTTTTACTCTGTCAAAGTCAACCACCCAAAAATATGATGTCGGAAAAAGTATAACAAATAAATATAGAAATTATATCATTGGATAGAGTTTAATTGTACGATCGCAACGGTGCAATCGGATTTCAATTTGGAGAAAGTTGGTCCAAAAAGTGTTCCCCGACTGGGACCAATTTAGTCCCAGTCAGGGACTTGCGTCTGGAATCCCTAAGCAATCGCCGTCCGCCCCACTGAGACGCCAAAACAATATTGGGAGGTCATCTCCCATGGCTTCTTCCTACTCCTCCTTCCTATATAAACCCTCCAATTTCTCACCATTCTTCACCAATCTTCTTCCAAGAGATAGCTGAGAGTGTAGAGAGTGAAGTAGTGTTGTCAATTTGGTGTAAAGTCGCCGGAGTTGGAAGTATTCGTCGCCGGAAGTTTCGCCGGAAAATTTCCAAAACCTTCAATAAGCTTCGAGGTAAGCCCGTTGATATATCTAGTGATTAGAATGTTCATATAGATCGTTTCTACGTTCATAAACGGTCGTTTGGTTGAATTTTGTGTTTGACATGTTTGAAGAAACAAGAATCATAAACTTTGAAATTGTTGTTAAAACTACAAATTAATGGTACCAAAATGATCTATGAACCTTGGAGAACCTTTTTGTATACTTTAATTGAAGTTTGGGAACTTAAAATGACATTTCCGTAAGTTGGCTCGAGGTAGAAGACGATGAACAATCGATTATCAACTTGAAAATCGATTATTCATTGTTCTGCAGATTTTTGGAACAAAGCTGAGCAATAATCGACTGTCAGAATGTGATAATTGATTATCAGTCCTCTCTGAAGTTTGATAATCGATTATCAGAGTGTGATAATCGATTATCAGACCATTCTGAACATCAAACAGTAGACTATCAGAAGTGACAGTAGACTGTCTCCCTACACTATTCAAGAAAATGAAGCCAATAGCCAACAAACGAGTTTCCTATCATATATTAATCAATTATTGTTTAGAAAACATGATTTTTAAACTATGAAATCCTATTTTTGATACCAATTGATTATGATCTTTATAAAGGTGAATTTTCATAATAAAAATGATATTTTTGACAAATAAAATCTTGTGTGATGCATGACGGTAAGCTAGGGTGTTAACACCCGAAGCTAGGCCGCTAATTGTTATTGAATATTATGTTGATTGATGATTATGGTAATAATTATTGATTGATGATTATGATGATTAAATCTTGATAGATGTTCTAATTAAAAATGGAAATTATGAATGATTAAATCATAATGAATATATTGATGATTGTGAA